CGCCTATTGTTCTCTAACTGGAGTTCCTATTTCTTCTTTTGGGACTCTTATATTCTTCCCTCCTGAAATCTACCTCAGTCTCTCCTTCTGGAATAATCTCTCTTCTCCTCTGCCCTCTCCTGGTATTTGCTTATTCTTTGGAAGGCACCTTCTCCTGCTATTGTATGGTAACTTCCTGGAGAGCACGAGCAGTACTTGTTCTCTTTTGTGTTTACCATGTTGCTTAAAACAGTGACAGACAAACAAATGAGTCTCAGTAAGATGTTTATCCAATCATGGCATTGGAAACTATGGACTTTGGTGACAGATGATATGTGCTAGGTTTCAGGAGGAGGGAAAGCATTTTGTAACATTTTCAACGTTTGTATCAGTCTGAAATCACGGTGGCTCAAGCCTGTAATCCCAGCACTTTGGGAGGCCGAGGCGGGTGGATCACGAGGTTAAGAGATCAAGACCATCCTGGTCAACATGGTGAAACCCCATCTCTACTAAAAATACAAAAAATTTAGCTGGGCATAGTGGTGCGTGCCTGTAATCCCAGCTACTCAGGAGGCTGAGCCAGGAGAATTGTCTAAACCCAGGAGGTGGAGGTTGCGGTGAGCCGAGATTGCGCCATTGCACTCCAGCCTGGGTAACAAGAGTGAAACTCCGTCTCAAAAAAAAAAGAAGTTAGCAGCATAATTTGTGTTTAAGAGGAGGGGTTCTAGGGTGATGTTTGAGTCAGAAACTTGCCATATGGTTTACTGCACTGTGATCTTCAGCAAGATATTTTAGTTCTTTACATTTCTCTTTTCCCCAATGTGAAAACCAATAACAGTATGAATTTCAGTGAACATGAAAAGCACTGGCCCAGCGCAGTGGCTCACATCTGTAATCCCAGCACTTTGGGAGGTGGAGGCGGGTGGATCACAAGGTCAGGCAATCAAGCCATCCTGGCCAGCATGGTGAAACCCTGTCTTACTAAAATACAAAAAATTAGCTGGACCTGGTGGCACGTGCCTGTAGTCCCAATTACTTGGGAGGCTGAGGCAGGAGAATCACTTGAACCCAGGAGGTGGAGGTTGCAGTGAGCTGAGATTGTACCACTGCACTCCAACCTGGTGACAGAGCAAAACTCCATCTAAAAAAAAAAAAAGCACCATTGTTCTATATATTACAAAGAAAGAAAAATTATTGTCAATTAAACAGTAACAGTGCTTTCTATGGTTTAGAATTTCTATCTTGTACTTACTGAAAAAGCTCTTTCAGATGTGGTTAGGCTTTTGAAAAATCACATATCACTCATTAAAAAGGACAAATGGGTTAAGGTTGTCCTAGGCATCTTCCTATTCAGTCTGAGTCTTCTGAAACACATTCGGTCTCAACATTGTCGAGGTTCATTTCTTTACACATCATCATCCTCTGAACCATTGAAGTTGTTGGGAGACAACTTTTTCTCCCCCAAGAACGAACTGTTTTCTGTAGTATTGTTTGCCACACTGCTAACATTTTTCTTCAAGTTTTAAATGCTGGTGCTTTTCTAGTCTTACAAATTCACATCAACTGAAGATTTTCAGGCAACAGCCAGGATGCAAATGGTCCTAAAATCGTTTGCACATTGAAATACCAGGTGGTTGCAGATGGTCAGCCAGAGCTGGGAAACAATCCAATTATAACCTGGATTGTTCTGACCATTTCCTGACTATTTCCTGGCTGATAGCATTGTAGGACATGTCCCTGTTTCAGAGATGTTACAATGTAAAAAAAAATAATAAGATATAACCTATTTCCTAAAGTTGTGATGACATTTAAAGTTGAGAAAGTTTGTAGCTATTATTGTGATTATGGTCACTATAAATTCTTAGAAAACATAGTGGGGTTTTCTAATAACACTAATTTATGGGGTACTCATTAATGTTATATATTTATTAATTTATTGTTCAATGTTCATGCTTAAAAATTTCCTAATTTTTCCTCTTTTTAAGTGAGGTGTGATTTACATTCAATGAAATGCACAGGTCTTATGTATACAGTTCTTGAATTTTGACACCTCCTGTGTTAAAAACAGCCCTATCAAGAGATAGAACATTTTTATCACTCAGGAAACATTACCCTGTATTGCTTCCCAGTCGTCATCATCCCTCCTCGGTTCTGATATCTTCTACCATGGATTAATTTTGCCTTTTCTAGAACTTAATAGATTCATGTGGCACTATTCCTTTGCATCTTTTGTAAAGATGCATATGTGTTTCTACATATATGAAGAGTTTGTTTCTTTTTATTGCTGAATAGTCTTTCACTGTGTAGCTATCATATTATTTTCTCATTCTCTTGTTGATGGACATTAGACTGCTTCCAGTTTGGGGCTGGCTCTCAGGCATAAAGACACTATGAACATTTATTTGAGTGCAAATATTTTTGACTACGTGTTTTCATTTCTTTTCTGTAAATGCCTAGATGTAGAATTGTTGGATTAAAGGGTAGATGTACATTTAACTTCGTGAGAAACTGGTAGAACTTTTCTTGAAGGGACCGTTTTACATGTGTGAGAGTTCCAGTTGCTCCATATCCTTGTGAATGTTTACATTTTTAGTCTAGTTAATTTGAAACATTTGAATGGGCTTGTAGTGGAATCTCTATGGTTTTAATTTTTCTTTTCCTAATGATTAATGATGTCAAATGCATTTTCATATGCTCATTGACCATTTGTGGGTCTTACTTTGTAAAATGCCTGTTAAGTCATTTGCCTGTTTTTCAGTGGCACCATTTGTGTTTAATTGTCAGGTTGTAATATTCAAGTCCTTTGTCAGTTAAACATATTGCAGTGATTTTCTCCGAGTCTGTGACTTCTTGTCTCATTTCTTAGTGGTGTCTTTTGATGAGGAGAACTTGGATATTTTGATAAAGCCCATCTATTCTTTTTAAAATAGTTACTCTTATCTGAAGTTCCTACCTACTCCAAAGTCAATAAGATATTCTTTTATTTTCTTTTTGTAGAAGCTTTATAGTTTTAACTTCTACATTTAGGTCTGTGATCCACCTTTAATTAAATTTTGTGTATGGTTTGAGGTATGAATCAAGGTTAATATTTTTTACATGTAGATAGCTAGTTGTTCCAGCACCACTTATTGAAACACTTCTTTTTGGCCTGCTTTGGCACTTTGGTTGGCCATATATATATATATATATATATATATATATATATATATCTCCACTTCTGGACTGTTACTCCATTGATCTATTTCTCTATCGATATGCAATGCCATATTATGTTGATTTATAGTGGCTTTAGCATTAGTCTTGAAATTAAGACTAACTTTTTAAGGATTGCTTTGGTTTATGTAGGCCTTTGTTGCTGCTGCTGCTGCTTCCTCTTCCTCCTCCTCTTCCTCCTTCCTCCTCCTCCTCCCTCCTCCCTCTTCCCTCCTCCCTCCTCCTCCTTCTTCTTCCCTCCTCCTCCTTCCTCTTCCCTCCTCCTCCCTCCTTCTCCTTCTTCCTCTCTCCTCCTCCCTCCTCCTCCCCCCTCCTCCTCCCTTCTCCCCCCACTCCTTCTCTTTCTCCTTTTCCTTCTCCTTCTTTTCTTTCTCCCTCTCCTTCTCCTCCTCCCTCCTCTTCCTCCTTCTCAGCCTCCTTCTCCTCCTCCTTCTTCTTTCTCTTCTTCTTTGGGGCCTTGCTATGTTGCCTAGTCAGAGTGCAGTGGCTATTCAAAAGTGCAATCATAGTGTACTACAGCCTCACACTCATGGGCTCATTCTTCTACGTTTTATTTTATTTCTTTATTTTGAGAAGGAGTCTCACTCTGTTGCCCGGGCTGGAGTGCAGTGGTGGATCACAGCTTACTGCAACCTCCACCTCCCTCATTTAAGTGATTCTTTTGCTTCAGCCTCTGGAGTAGCTGGGATTACAGGTGTGTCCCACTGTGCCTGGCTAATTTTTATATTTTTAGTAGAGGTGGAGTTTCACCATGTTAGCCAGTCTGGTCTTGAACTCCTGACCTCAAAGGATCCACCCACCTCAGCCTCTCAAGTGCTGGGATTGCAGGTGTGAGCCACCATGCCTGGCTCACTCTTCAACATTTTAGAATAAGCTAATAGATTTCTACAAAAGAGCCGCATAAGATTTTGATTGGAATTGTATTAAATCAGTGAATCAACGTGGGGAAAATTGATATCTTACCAATATTGAACTTCCAGTGTATGTATATAGTGTGTCTTTTAAAATATTTGTCTTCAATTTCTCTCAGCAGTTTTTGAAAAAAGTAGTTCTCACTGTAGAGCTCTTGCATGTATTTTTAAAAAGTACCCCTCAATATTTTGAGTTTTAAGACATCTTATAAATTGTACTTTTTTAGAAAGTCATCTTCCAGTTTTTTGTTGTTGATATTTAGACATAAGATTGATTTTTGTATGTTGGCCTTGTATCCTCAACCTTGCTACATTTAACATGCCATATATTTTTCTCAGTGCTTTACAGAATTTCTTGTTTATTTTTGTAACTACTTATGATTCAGGTATTATTCCAGTCATATTTTATAAGCAATTTGCCCTAGACGTTCTAATTTCTTTGCTCCAGGTCATGCAATTTGAGTAACAGGGGAGCTAGGAATTTAATTTAGGTCCGCTCTAATTAGATGGCCCAGTCCCCTTCCACCATACTATAATATGTCATCTCTTTGATATTTGTATATTATTTGAATAGAGTGACACATTGTGGTTTCTCTGGATTCCACTGGGACATTTTTGTGTCATCATATTTCACAGGACACGGCTTAGCCAATAGAACTCCTAAAATGGACATAACAAGAATAAGGTGATAAAAAGACTGGTGTTTTTTTCCAGTTTAGGGAAGGCAGTGCTTTTCCAGGTTCTTTCCCCAGAGGACTGCTGAGGAAGTTGTGCATAATCTCCAAGTTCAGTTTCTTTGCCCATGCTGTGAATGTATGTTAGCTGCTGCCAGATCTTCCATGTGTGTGGATGCTGTAATGCTTGTTTTCCCTCCTTCTCTCCCGCAATGTGCTATAGGAAACCATTTCTGTACAGCTAAGGACCTCACCGAGGAGATTAGATCATTAACATCAGAGAGAGAAGGGCTGGAGGGACTCCTCAGCAAGCTGTTGGTGTTGAGTTCCAGGAATGTCAAAAAGCTGGGAAGTGTTAAAGAAGATTACGACAGATTGAGAAGAGAACTGGAACACCAGGAGGCCGCCTATGGTAGGTAGTGCACAACTGCTACGCGGCGAGATATTGATGATATTTGTTGTGTTTGTGGCCAGGCAGGATGTTCTGTGCTTTATGTGAACATCACTGTGAAGGGCGTCATGGAACACATGGCCCTTTTCCTGGGGGACATTTTTGGCAGGCGCCTTGGCAAACTGGGTGGAATTACTTGTCAGCTTTTGTTTTTATATTCACATGTGACATCTTTTCTTTTTCTGCTCCCCCTCCCACCCTGCATTTGCTAATAGCCTTGTTATTATTTAGAGCAATTTCTCCCTTGGCAAGGTCTTGCGCATTTTCTTTGTGTGACAGTTATCTTCCTTTTGTCCCTTGGCTCAGTCTCCTGGTCTGCACAATCATAGACTAAATCAGGCTGATCTGAGAAAATTGAGGAAAGACCATAAAGTGGCTCTTCTATGTGTGCACTTTTCTGAGAGCTTCTTTCCCCAGGAAGAGGCAAATGCTACCTTAGCCAAAGTGTCTGCTTGTTGGAGGACTCCAAGTGACCTTGTGTCCTTTCCTTTTCCAGTTGTTAAGAGTAACTGAGGTTACTCTGAGATTTGCACCCAGAGGGATGGTCTTGGAATATGCTGGTTCAGTGCAAATTGAGATAGTGTAAACTCATTTCTTAAAAAAAGTAAGGAATTTCTGACAATTAGTTTCTAATATGCAGAATAAAATAATTAAAAGCAAATTCACATGTAATCTTTATTAAATACTAGTACCTATTTCTGCACCAGTAAAATGACAAGAATAACATCTATCTCCTGGGCAGATTAAGTGGTGCAGATTAATTTACAAAGATCCCGGAGAGTGTGTGTGTGTGTGTGTGTGTGTGCGCGCGTGTGTGCCTGAGTGTGTGCACACGCGCACCTGCCTTTCCATTGCTCCTAGAAACTAACTAACTAAAAGTCAGGGGCCATATATAGCATATCATGGTTCTTAAATAAATGTCATCATTTACTAAAACAAATGAAAGAAATACCTATGAATAAATGGCTATATTTTACAAAGCATGCTTGTTTAAGAAGCAATAAGAAAAGAACGGGGCTGATAGGAACCAGATTTGAAATAGGGCTTTTGTAAATATTCCATAAATTGAAGTAAATGAAGATTAGTATTCATAAGCTAGATTTAGAGATGTAAAATCAGCTAGCTGAAGTTAAATGCATCATTTTGGGATGCATAAATTTTCTTTTAAAGGCTTACCGATTTGTGTAGAGAGAGGTTTCTTCATAGAGATATTTGAATTAAAGAGTATGTTCAGTAGTCATTCTGTCTTCTTTGTAATGAAAACCCTTAAGTTGGCTTAATAGCTCGGTACTTATCTTTTTTTCTTTCACTCTTAAAGGTCAAGCCTTGTTTTTGCTGTATATGTAACTAGAGACGGTACATTAGAGCCTAAATAACTATAGTACTAAGGAATAACAACATGCTCACCGAAGACACCACAGCCTGGTTTACTCTGTCATGATAGGAATGAGCATTGTACATTTTTTTTTTTTTTGGAGACAGAGTTTTGCTCTTGTTGCCCAGGCTGGAGTGCAATGGTGCGAGCTCGGCTCACCGCAACCTCCGCCTCCTGGGTTCAAGTGATTCTCTTGCCTCAGTTTTCCGAGTAGGTGGGATTACAGGCATGCGCCACCACACCTGGCTAATTTTGTACTTTTAGTAAAGTCAGGGTTCCTCCATTTTAGTCAGGCTGGTCTTGAACTCCCGACCTAAGGTGATCCGCCTGCCTTGGCCTCCCAAAGTGCTGGGATTACAGGTGTGAGCCACTGCGCCCGGCGAGCACTGTACATTTTGAGTAGATTTCTGCTATTGATTTTTAAAGTGTATAAAGAATGAAAACTACAAAATTTCTCATGTTTTTATCTCACCACATAATTGTTTTAATCACAAAATGAAGAATATATTATATCCAAGAATAAAGAAGATGTGAACAAGTTTGGGCACATTTAGTCCAGCAGTATTTTCATTTGAACAGTTGAGCTCTTGAAAGCCATTAATATCTCTTTTTTAAAAAAGGACCATGCAGTATCTTTTGAATCTCATCATTGTCACTTCAGTATTTTCAAAATGATGAATAAAACATAAACAAATGGAATGAGAGATCGTTACCACGGATGATTCTAAATTGCAGATGGCTCCTTGCTGTTGTGAAGCCTCTCTTTGTTTTTACACTTGGATTTTGCTGGATCAGCCACTCTTTTCCCTATCCGTTGATTTACACATGCTTTATACTTTTCTTTTTAACCAATTTGAGGTGAGTTGGCTTTAGGTGAACCAAATTAATAATTTAGGGTTGAGAGTGTGAGAAACAAATAAATAATGAATACCTGAATATAATGACACTTTTATTTAATGAAATGTGATAAAACTGGGCCAAAGTCCATATTCAGCTATTTTTGTGTTTTGAGAGTTAAAAATTCAGAGGGAGCTCTGTGTTCAAGTTTAAATATAGGGGAAGTACAAAGGAGCGTGTGCTTACACACATACACATATGCAAGCATGTACCATGACTCTTTTTAGTCTTAGAGAATGAAACCATTTAAGAAATGAGCAGTATGTAGTATTCTTAAAAAAGGTTTTGATTTCCAACAATGATTGTAGAATGCAACGTTCAGGGGGAAACAGGCAACTCACGGATGAGCAAGCTACCCTGAGTGTCAGGGACTTAGCCTCTTCTATTTTGTTCTCCTGTGCCCTACAATATGTGCCCTTCAGTCCAACCTGGCTGACCCAGCCACAGGCATGTTCAAGTCCAGTCAGAGAAAATGAAGAAGGAAGAGGGCTCACCTACCCCATTTTAAGTACCCTTTGAGAAATCTGCACACGTCTCTGCTATGACCACATCCCTGTGACCTCAACCTTGTTATATGGTAACAGTTACTTGCAAGGGGGGCTGGGAGTTCTCCTGACCCTGGGCAGCAATGTGCTCTGCTGAAGTCCTGAGTTCTGTTTCCATAGCAAAAGGGGAGATTTGCAGTCTTAGGGAACAATTAGCAGTGTCTCTCATACAGTGACCTCTTAATGATGTGAAGTATATCTCTAATGATTCACCTGAGAGAACTTGCTGCACTGATCACTTAAGATATCCGGGTATCTTGTGTCTCTGGCTAGATTGTGAGTCCACTGAGGTCAGAACGTTGTCCTCAGGTTTCACTGTACTGCTCTGGTATCCAGCATGATGTCTTTTAAAATAGTAAATATACTATACCACAAATGTTTGTTTACTTACTGGGGTCAGATGTTAAAATGACACGGGTCCTTTCTTCCTGCATTTTAGATTGCAGATCCAGGCCTTGAACCTTCTGCTTCTTTATTCACTTTCCAAATTAATGAGAGTAGTGGTAAGTTTGACTGTCTTTCTTGGAAGATGCTTGAGTTGTCTGAGTCAGATATTCAGATTGGAGTGTCAGCAGACAGAACAATATGATAATAGAAAAGGAACTGAAATATGCCAAGGTAGTCAAGGGCAGGAGGAGACAGACGTCATCACTGAATCCATTGGCTTTTGTCACCAAGACACAGTCTCTATAAAGAGATGATAAGAATTGCACTTTAACTCCTGTCAGCTGTTTTTAAGACTTCAGGATAATGCATTTGAATTCTGAGCAATGCTAAGTGCAGTGAAATAGAAGGAAAAGCTAAATCAATCTTCTAAGCCTTGAATATTTATGGAAATTAACTATAAACATTTAATTATTGTGGATTCCAATATGTGTGTTTCTTTAAAGAAGGGGGGGATGAAAAAAATTCAGCAACTTTTACAATTTGTTACATCTGTTTTTTTTTTTTTGAGACAGAATTTGATTCTTGTCACCCAGGCTGGAGTACAATGGTGCGATCTCAGCCCAACGCAACCTTTGCCTCCCAGGTTTAAGTGATTCTCCTGCCTCAGTCTCCCGAGTAGCTGGGATTACAGACACCCACCACCACACCCAGTTAATTTTTGTATTTTTTTGGTAGAGACAGGGTTTCACCATGTTCGCCAGGCTGGTCTTGAACTCCAGACCTCAGATGATCCACCCACCGTGGCCTCCCAAAGTGCTGGGATTACAGACGTGAGCCAACGCACCAGGCCTACAACTGCTTTTCAAAAAAAAAAGACAGCCCTCAGATTTACTTAGCTGTTTTTTGCCATCCCTTGTGTATACACTGGTAATCTGTATTGTACTTTATTAATATTGTTGATTTCACACTGTAGCTCAGCTATAAAAGAAACCGACGTCAAGGGGAGAGATTTAATCACAGAATAATCAGGGCTAGAATTTTAAATAGGACATCATTAGCATGTTAATGAATTTTCCCACCTTATGCCAGCTGCCTGAGTAGAAAAGATACTGCAGATGTAGCTCAAAAATCTGGCTGGGTCTATGGCCCAGTGAGCTGTCAGGAATCTGTGTGGGGGGGATCCATAAGCTAGGGAAAGAGATTCTCAGTGAGAATACCAAGCAGCAAGATTCATTTTCCTGAGCATGATGGCTAACTGTGCCCAGCCTAAACTCATTTGTCTTTCAGTGAGTAAGTGGAGAATGGAAGGCAGAGAAGGGGCAGTTTAAGGATAATGAAGTTTGAGTAGAGGCATCTTTCCAATTATGGTTGGGGTTAGGAACTTTTGCTTTAGATAGAAAAGTTGTAAGTTCACAATGACAAGATCCTGCTCTAATTTTTGGAACTATCTCATAATTTTTGAGCTTGAAATAGCTAATGAAAGGAAGCAGGAGTGTCTTAGTGCATTTGTGTTGCTATAGATGAATACCTGAGGCTGGGTCATTTATAAAGAAAAGGGAATTCTTTGGCTCACAGTTTTTCAGGCTACATACGAAGCATGGTACTGGCATCAGCTTCTGGTGAGGGTCTCAGGCTGCTCCCACTCATGGTGGAAGATGAAGGGGAGCTGGCATGGGCAGATCACATGGTGAGAGAGGAAGCAAAAAGGGAGAGGAGGAAGATGGTACACTCTTTTTTTTTTTTTTTTTTTTTAACAATTACCTCTTCCAGAAACGAATAGAGTGACAACTCACTCATTGATGACCAAGCTATTCGTGAGGGATCTGCCCCCATGACCCAAACACCTCCCATTAGGCCCCACCTTCAACATTGGGGGACTAATTTCAATATGAGGTTTGGTGGTCAAACCAAGAAACTATAGCGGTGACAGATTATACTGAGATTGGTTTAAGTTCATGGGTGCAGCTACTTGCAGAATTTTACTTCACACCTATTATGAAAATCTTTTAGTTTAGAAATCCTGTGAGTTACCAGTTCTGCATATATAGGCAGTAATTCTTTTTTCCATATATATATATATCAGATATATGTAGAAGAAACATTTGTGAAAAAGTAGAATGAAAGAATAAAATCTATGGGTCTCTTTTATTGGCAGGGACAAGGAGGTAATGGAGAACCAGGAAAATATATATAGCAAAGATAAAAATAATAAAATTAACAACAATAAAATTAAAAAACAAAGACAGAAGAGAATGCCAATGACAAGTGTTAATTATTTGGTTGAGAATATGATGTTATAATGAACTTCCTAGAAGTCAGACCAAAAAAGACAGTTGAAGTATCATCCTTCCTCAAAAGCCACTTGAAAATCATAGGTTTCTGGGAAATCAGAGTGGTGCTAAATTCTTAAAGACAATTATCTTGAAAGCACATTGGAAAGTCCTCCTGAACAGATTTATAACACATGCAAAAGCTCTTTTACTTGTGCTATTATTTTTTAACGTTTAATTTTAGGTTCAGGGGTACATGCGCAGGTTGGTTACATAGGTAAATGGCATGTTGTCGGGGTTTGGTGTACAGAGTGTTTTATTACCCAGGTGATAAACATGTTATTTGATGGTTGTTGCCAACTACCTCTGGATAAAAACATGTTAGGGGTCCCTTCAAAGCAGGAGAGACTGTGGATAGGAAGGACTGAAACCACATACACATTTTAGATATGTAGGTATGTACAGTTTTTCCCACAAAAAGATCCAGTTTTTCAGCAGATTTTTAGAGGCGTCATTCTAGGATTTCCCAAATTTTAAGAAACATTAAAGTATTACACTACGAAGGTGAATTAGGGCTTGGGCTAGTGAAGTTTAAGTACAACATCTTCCAGTGTCTGATACTATGCCGAGATGTAACTTGGTACCAGAAAAGTGGCTAGAGGACATATAGTGGAGACTCACCAAATGTCGCTTCTTTCCTCTGAGCTTTGGCTAAGACCTACGTATAAGACAGCTCAGCTCTCTGGGCCAGAATGGCGATAGCGCTCTTGATACTGAGGGCAAAGCTGTCTGCTTTGGAACCAGGTGAGTGTTGTGGTGCTGTGTGTCAAGAAATGTAGATGCTTATATGGGAAACAGGTATGTGTCTGCCTTTCCAAATTCTAAATCTTCGGTCATTTAGATTAAAAAAAAAAAATACACCAAATAGGATCTTTTGGAGGAAATAAAAAGTTCAAAATCTTTTCCCTCAGGTTTTTTGATAGGCTGATGTTTTACATATGTAATCATTTATTTTTTTTTGCCTTATTGATTACTTTATCACTTTATCAGGACCCTGATTAAATGTTTGTGTTTTTAAATTCTCTCCATTTTTTTCTTTCCAGTTACATCCTTGCATCACTATTAGTGTGATTATTTCCCTTCAGCCAGTTTTGCCTGTGAATTTCTAAGCTTGAAATTTGCAATTAACTTTCTCCCTCCTTTACTAAGTCGCTGTGCTAATTCTTCTGGGAGGCATCCCAATACAGCGCAAAAAGCCTGGGTTAGGATGTAGTGGGTGTGCGTTTAATTTCAGCATCTGGCATATATAACATCAGAACGTGAGGCTTAATGAATGATCTTCAGCAAGTCACTGAATTTTACCTGAGTCTCAATTGCTTCATATATAATACCGTAAAACCAAATCTTGAGGTTGCATTTCTATCCATCCGTCCATCCGTCCATCCATCCATCCATCCATCCCTCTGTCCGTCCGCCCGTCTGTCCACCCATCCATCCATCCATCCATCCATCCATCCCTCTGTCCGTCCGCCCGTCCGTCCACCCATCCATCCATTCATCCCTCCTTTCAACCACTATCTATTGAGTACTTACAATATTCTGGCGCCATGGCAGGTCCTCATGGTCCAGCTATGAATCAATAGTCCCTGTTGGCTGCTGAGGTCCCTTTTTACTCTAGCCCCTTGTATATGAATTTCCATAATTCAATTTATACTTTGTTAATTTATTTCTTGCTCTCAACTACTTTTGATCTCCTTTTCCCACTTTTATCCATATACATTTTTTAGAAGTCCCTACCATTGTTATATCTTTTTTCACTTGTCTCTCTACTTGTTTCTATCCTCTCCTAAAAATACTTACGTCATTTACCCCCCTGGGTGGAAATGCAATGATGTTTTCAATTATATTTCATACCAAATTGCAACAGGCAGGTTTTTAAAACATGCTAATTCATTTAGAGCAGGAGCTTCACTCTATGTAATAGGGTGGGTGCCTGTGTCTCTTAAATATCTGCCAGATTTTCTGCTTTGTAGATTATTCTTACTAACCAGTACCTATTAGAGTCTCTTTGTACATTTCATATGAACTCTGGGCTTTGATAATGTTGGTAGACACATGTATTTACACACTTATATAATATCCTCAAGATTAAGCTAAGAATGGTGGTAGGTGGAACTTCATGATCTTAAAGAAGAGTCTATTTGTCATATTTTGGGTAAGGGGATTTGCCTGGGGACCAAGTCATGTATTGCAGAACATTTCACATCCCTGGTCATTGCCTGCATCCAACTCTTCTTCCCATCCTCATTTTTCAATGCCCCTAGGTATGAGATGACACCCTCAGTTAGCCGCACAACTTCAGCATATGCTTTAAGTTTTATTATCATCCATATGCTTTGGAAAATATGTTATTATTATTGTGATCATTAGAACTTACCTGGAATTAATAGAACCTAATTTTGTTATTCATGTTATCTTTTATGTAGATCCTTAAAGGTTTAAAACTAAGTTAGTTGCAGATTTCTTCTTCCATTGCTCCTTACTGTGATATTCAGCATGTGTTTCTTGGGCACAGATTTCTATGTGCACAGATGAGCCATAGCTGTTGTGGATTGAATGTGTTCTTTGAAGAAAAGGAATGATCCCTTGTATGAAGTCACCCTCTTTTAAGTAACAAACACTTATCCCTTTCTTTTTGATTCTCAAGCCCTTGAGAACCAATCACTGTGCTAAGGCTTGACATACTTTAGTCAGTCTCATCCTCTGGACCACTGTGGTGCGAGCTCCGCTGGAATCTCTGTTTTCCAGATGAAGAAGCTGAGGTTTAGGAAGGATCCCACCACAGAACCTCCAGGGGGCAAGGCCACCATCTGGATCCTCTTTACCTGTCATTTTGCCTTCGACATTGCTTTATGTTCTTTATGAAGTTGATTCCTAACGTCATTCTCTCTATTCATCCCTCAACCTCATTGCCCTACCTAAATACCACACCTGTACATTAATTACAATATTGATGATGTTGAACACCCTGAAGAGATGGGTAATTTTTTTTCATTTTTGAAATTTTCAAGCACCTCCCTATATTTTGTGCCTGAAATGATGATCCACTATCTGCCATTTTGCTATAGCAGATGGATAACTTAACTCAGTAGTAGGAAGTTCTGTAGGTTATCGCCCTTATGAAACTCCTATCTTTTGTATTAAAACCTCAATTCTTTATTTCTGAAGGGTGACTAAGAGGAACTTGGCATACTACCATAAATCAGAAAGAAGCTGAACTGTAGCAATTTAATTGGATACATATTTCTTAACTTCAAAACAGTTTTCTATATATTTTCAAAGGCTAGTTCTGCTTCCTGTTCTAAAATGCTGAAATGTCAGTGTTTTCCTTTGTATTCCTGTAAGTAAGTGCATTGGTTATTAGATTGATACATTACTCAGTTTCTGGTAAAGAAGTAGTTAGAAGCCCTGTTTGATTCTAAGAATTTACTGATTTGTCATCCATTTACTAATTTGCAATTCAACTTGCAACATGTGATGGCAATCATTCTAGGCTTCTTTTGAGTGAGTTTTGAACTTTAGTTAAATAAAACAACATTTAAAATATTCTTTTATTTATTTATTTATTTTTATTTTTTTATTTTTTGAGACGGAGTTTCGCTCTTGTTACCAGGCTGGAGTGCAATGGCACGATCTCGGCTCACCGCAACCTCCGCCTCCTGGGTTCAGGCAATTCTCCTGCCTCAGCCTCCCGAGTAGCTGGGATTACAGGCATGTGCCACCATGCCCAGCTAATTTTTTGTATTTTTTTTTTTTTTTTTTTTTAGTAGAGACGGGGTTTCACCATGTTGACCAGGATGGTCTCGATCTCTTTAAAATATTCTATAATTTAGGATTTTCAGGAAGGAAGGTTGATTCTTTATAAACCAAATTTGATTTTGTGAGATTTTTGCAGAATTTAGTTTTACTTGCGCTAAATATGACATCTTTTATGTGGTCACAGTTTTTTCAATGATTAATTTGGTAAGAAATATTTTGTTTTCCTTCTTGGCATTGCCATGAGTTACGGCTTCCTGTACACACCCCTGCCATTTTAGCTGTGTACTTCTTTGAAGCTGCCATATGTTAACAACCCAAGAGAGATGCTATTTATTGGAGAGAGCATCATTTGTTGCTAATTTGATTTTTCAGATTTGCTGAGCTCTTGTAAAAGAGAGAGGGTATGCTGATGAATGTTTTCCTGCCCTGACTGGAAAGGAAAACATTTGAGGAGCCAGTGTTCGCTGCCCTGGACCCATTCTACTTTAGTCCTGTTATGTTTTGGACTTGGGGATAGCCATTCTGTCTAATCCACTTTTCTGTAATTGGAGAGGATGGATCACTGTAGGGGTGGACAACCCTGAGTGAATGCATTGAAATTTAATATTTATGGCCAGTACAAAAACCAGCAAGAATTGCTTAAGGATTTACTGACTTGGCATCATCAAAAATTTATGAGGCAGGCATGCTCATATTCCACTTGCCTGCATAGTCATAGAATGTCATTTTATTTTTCTTTTGACATTATAGTTTCTGGAGTCTTAACTCATTAACAACTGATGGCACGCTTTGCTTTTTGGCTTAATTATAACCAAATTTTATTTGCCAAATGGTGTTTAATTTTTGGTGTATTAATTATTATGAATGTCTCTCTTTTCCTGTTTTTTATGACTGCTTTACACTTCATGTGTCCCCAAATCTTATATTTTCCTTCCCCAACAAAGAACCAAATGCAATTATATTATGATTGCATGGTCTGTCAATGAATGGAGCTCTGTCTTGTTTGGACAATGTGACTGAAATCTTGAGCTTCTTTGTAACTCTGAATTGGATCCAGCATTTGACTTTGGTTATATGTACCAATTACGTTGAGTGAGACACATACATTGGAATTTGGCAAACATCTGTGTACCCTTCACCCAACTCCCTTGTTCTCAGAGACTGAGTAATAGTAGTGGCTGGATACCAACTTCATGTCTGCCCTAAGAAGGTCACCAAACACTGACATTCCCCACTGGTCTGGAATCCTGCAAATCCGTCAGCTTTTGGAAGTGAAGTAATTCTCCCCTACAGATTATAGAGAAATTCTCCCAAGTCAAAGCTTATGAAACTTCTGGAGTCACTCTAGGATAAATTTAAATTTATTTCAGAAACCACCATAAGCATAAAATAAAAATTTTTTAATGAATGAAGAATGTTCATCATACAATTTCCGTAACAGCACCCCTGATTGCATTTTTAGCATTCTCTTCTGTGCTTGCAGCATAGGCAGACTTTTTTCACACTTATACTGAGAATGCAGATGCAATTTTACATCATCTATCTGTCCTTAACCTTACAGGACCATAGTGAGACCATCACACCACTTAATCCTCATGACTATACTTTGAGACAAATTTATTATTCCCAATCCACAGACTTGTGAAACTGAGGCTCAGTGAATTAAGAAAGTTGCTCAGGTTTCTGTATATGGAAGGTAAAGAACTGTAATGAGACTCATCTGTTTCATTTCAGAGCCATACTCTTCATTATACACTTCTGTTTCCCTGTTCGCAATATAGTATTTCAGTGTGTGACTTATTACGTACATGACACTCCAAGAATCAATATACTGTAACTTCCTTAACTACCTCCTCATTCTGAGGTGTTTAATGATCATTTCATGAATTTCTTTCAGAAGATGAAGTGCCAAGATTGGAATTAATGACAGAAAGAGTGCAGTCATTTTTATGGCTTCATACATGCTGCAGATTGACTTTCAAAAGGATTATAGCAATTTAATTGATACTGCCAATCCCTCCTTTCTAATATTATGTATTATTTCTTTAAAAATTATTAGTATAATAACAATAATAGACTGGTATATAATTCATGCCTTGTTTTTGCATATCTTTGACTAATAACACTGAAATTGTTTTTTTGTGCCTTTATAATTTTTCTTTTTGAGACAGGGTCTCACTCTGTCACCCAGGCTGGAGTGCAGTGGCATGATCTCGGCTCACTACAACCTCTACCTCCAGGGCTCATGTGATCCTCCCACCTCAGCCTTCCAAGAAGCTGGAACTACAAGCATGTGCCCCCATGCCCAGCTTAGTAGAGACGGGGTTATGCCATGTTGCCCACACTGGTCTCGAACTCCTGGGCTCAAGTGATCCACCTGCCTTGGCCTCACAAAGTGTGGGCATTGCAGGAGGAAGCTGCCATGCCAGGCCTATTTTTTTTTTATTGTGTGTTGCCCATGTCTTTTGTCTATTTGTTTTATTTTGAAGGTGGCACCTAATGGCTTTCTTCTCTTTATATAATATGGTTATTAATATTTTTTTCTATTTGTGTGTGTGTGTGTGTGTGTATGTGTGTGTGAAATTAACCCCTCATCATGATTAATCATGAACCAAGAACAAAATCTTTATAAAAATAATAACATGTTGAGGTAACAGTGTAGAATGGATTTTAAATTTCTTAAGGCATTAGGTTGCAAATGATTTACTAAACAACATAGCCCAGTGTTCCTGAGTGGAGGCATCCCATTTCAACTCTGTGTATTAATATTCATTGGACCTGGCCTTTCAAACAAATGTGACATTCAGGGAGCTACTGCACTTGAGACCTTAATAAACCAGTTTCACTTTTTTCAGTAAATCTGTGTAAGGCATTATTTTACATTTTCTCCACCATTAAAATACAGACACTGAGAGAAGTACTCAGTATCCTACCCATTACCTTATTTTTCTTCATGATGCATCTCATGTTTTGTACTTTACTGTCTTTGGCTTTTTTTTTCTTTATTATTTCCCATTTTCCTAAGTTGATCCATTAGAAAAACAACTCCTGCCCACGGGACTAATTTTTTTCCTCCCAGAAGCATGCTGTTATTTCATAGGTGAACGGAGAGTGTCTTGATGGTGTCTGTGGCCCTTGAAGCTGCAGTTTAAGGGAGGGGGTTCAAAGAAATGGTAGAGAAAGGTCGTCCCTGTCCTGGAAGGATGCCAGACAGGATAACCTTTGAAACTGTCACCAGGGGCATGAAAAACAGGTTTGCAACAGTTTCCTACCCTCCTCTGCACAAATGACACACAGCATTTGGTATTAAGGCAAAGATCCTTTTCCACTGATGATATGTAATCATAAATCATAAGAAATTTCTCTGATTTGGGACTCAGGAAGGCACCTTTCTACCTGTTGCAGCTGTTGGGAGTCAAATTCTCCCTCCATCCCAACCACATCTTCCCAAGGCTTTTGGCAGCTCCCGCTGCCTTTCACATTCTCCTCTCCACCTTTGGACTATCCCATATCCTTATCTATCCACAAATTCACTCCCTATACTCCTTTCCTGCTTAATCAGGACAGCTCCTCTGACCACCTTGACTTCCCACGATGTCCACGTGCTCTGGATGAAATGCGCTAAGCCCTGCCAGGTCCCTGTCCCTGTGATCTGAGTCAGGCCCCAGTGACTCTCCTGTATACACATCCTCTGTCCTCCTTGGACCCATATTTATAGTCAGTCTCTCTGTTCCCATCCTGCGTGGCACTTGACCTGATGCTGGGAAGGTAATCATTATCCCTCCCTTAAGGTTCCAGGATTATTCATTCCGTTTTGCCACGTCTAACGTAATATTTAATATCATCTATGAAGAAGCCTGAAGACTATGAGTAAATGCTCTCGTTGGTACTGAAAGGGTTTTATGCCATATGAAATTTAGAGAACATGTTTTCTCAGGAGGTCTGACGTTAATGTTAATCGTGAGCCCCAAAGTGGAAGCTTTTATATTTTAGCATAATGAAGTTTACCGTGTGTTTCAAAGTCACTTGCAATTGTGCTTCTCATAATGACAATTAGAAAGGTCATCTCGTCTTGCCAGTCTCCATTAGATATATAAACCAGCTTGTAGCTGTCACTGTGAAATATGTTAAGGCACTTGTATGCAAATACAAGGGGGGACACGATATTTTTTATCCCAAAGTGCAGCTGTTTATAACTAATTACCAAACATGGAACAAGCCTATTGTTTGCCTTTACATGATATATGGGCATAGAAATTTCTAAAGCAAATTCTCTCATTCATTAAATTATATGAAGTTGGCCAGGCACGGTGGCTCACGCCTGTAATCCCAGCACTTTGGGAGGCTGAGGCAGGTAGATAACAAGGTCAGGAGATCAAGACCATCCTGGCCAACATGGTGAAACCCCGTATCTACTGAAAATATAAAAATTAGCTGGGCATGGTAGCGCATGCCTGTAATACCAGCTACTCAGGAGGCTGAGGCAGGAGAATTGTTTGAACCTGGGAGGTGGAGGTTGAAGTGAGCTGAGATGGTGCCACTGCCCTCCAGCATGGGCGACAGAGTGAGACTCCATCTCAGAAAAAAAAAATTATATGAAGTCACCCTCTTCCATGAAGCATATGGTGAGGTCCTCAAAGCACCAAATAAAGAAAGTTGTCATGAAGACACTAGTGTATTTCTGATCTATATTTTTTTCTGCCTCTCTCAAAATATTTATTATCTCCATTAAAGTTTGGAAACAGTTATTCTATTTAACTCTCTACACGTGAGCCTTCACGAACTGATGGAGCAAAGGTGAAACGAAAGGGAGAAGGTGAGGAGGTGGCCTAAGTAATGTGTTCTTATGGAACTTGTAGAGGGATAAACCTCCGTTAGAACCAAAGCAGATAATTCTTGGGGAACTGAACCATGTCAGTGCGGGTGTGGGTTGTGGGAACTGATGCTGGAGAAAAACAGTTCGTAATCTGGCCTGGGAATGGCAAGTTGGGTTGCCACGATTGAAATGTTAATACACTTTTTGTATGAATGTCCTTTCATTTATGCCTTTTGTTCTCTAAGCTGCTTTGCTCTGAATTATGAGAGACAGGCTAAACTTCACAATCCAAGCCTTTAGAATTTACAAACATTTATCAATAGATAAGCAAGATAGGTAAAAGTCCTGGATTCATTAATGCACACCCATGGTCTCTATAGTTTTGACATTTCTTAGTTGGGAGAATGTGGGAGAAGAACCCTGTGGCCCATGAAACATTTGACTGTTGACATTTCATACTATTCAAATGCTTTGATTTAAAAAATTAATCTATGAATTTAACATATTCATGGGCTGCAGACACTGCAGAGAGCTACCTTTTCCTGGCCTTTGTGTTTGAGCTGTTTTCTGGTCGCTGAATCGCCCATCTATCTGGAATGGCTTGTGTTCAGGTTTTCCAGAGGCAAAGGATGACTCCATATTCTTCAAGGAACTTTCTAGGCAAATAAATTTATTATTTTTTTTAATGTTAAAAATGATCCTCTTTATTAAGACTGATAGAAAGACAGGAATAAATAATTTTAATAGCCCTGTGACACATAAATGGAGGAAAAAACCCTCTCCATGCTTATGTAAATAGGAAGGAAAAGAACTACAGCATGAATATAGAAAAGGACTTCTTTCCTCCTTCTTCTACTCTCTTGTTTTTTGCCCTTTGCCTAAAGCTGTTAACATTGGGTGAGTGTCCCTGTTGTCATCTTGCATCATACCTCACATTCTGTTTGATGTTGATAGGGATGGATATCTGAGAGTCTATATGAAGAGTTGTATGTAAGTTTATGTAAGGCCCTTTCTTTGCTTCTATGTTGTTGCTCATTATATGGATGCATTTTATAGTACTTTGAGCTTATGTTTAAAACACCTGTGCCGCAGTGGACCCTTGTGTCACTGCCTGGCCTCTTATTCAGAAACCTTAGCTGTCCCTCAATTCCGACAACACATGTTGAGTGCCTCTCAGGTGCCAGCCACTGTAATAGGCACTGGGGAGTGGAAGGGTGACAAGATGTGATTCCTGACATCTGGAGGTTTGCAGTTGCTGGTGGAAAAGGCACACGTACACAGCAAATAAGGCACGACATGTTGAAAGGTGAAATGAAGCAATAAACAATGGGCATCAAGACAGCAGAGATATAGACAACCAAGGATGCCTTCGAGGAGCCAGGGAAAGCTTCACAGAGGAGGCAGAGCATGTGCCATGGCTGGAGGGTAGAAGGGGCAGAAATACTGTTGTATTAGGGAGGAGGTGAGCACAGACTCAGAGGTCAGGGGAACGTGGCACGTCTGGGGAACAGAGATCCAGTCCCAGCCCTGCCACTTAACAGCTGTGTAACTTTGAGAAAGTTTACTGATCTCTCTGAGTATGTTTCCTCCCATGTAAAATAGAAATACTACTAATGCTAATGTTGACCTCTTAGGACCATGAGTAGATGAAGTAATAATACATGTAACAACCTTGGCTTAGTGCACTGGCATATCATAAGGACTCTGTAAATATTAGTTTGCATGATTAATGATCTGGCTGGACTGAAGGGTGCAAGAGTGAGAATGGTAGGAGACGAGGCTGGAGAAGTGGACAGAACCAAACCATGAGTACCTTTTCACCAGGCTGCAGTTTTCAAGATTTTCCAAAGGTCATGGCTAGCCATTAAAATAAATTGATGTCTGTATCCTTCACCGTTCCTGAACATTCTTGTATTACAATTGTGTTAGTCTGTTCGCATTTCTATAAAGGAATACATGAGACAGGGTAATTTATAAAGAAAAAATGTTTATTTGGCTTATGGATCTGCAGGCTGCACATGAAATACAGTGCTGGCATCTGCTTCGGGCAAGGCCTCCGGAAGCTTACCATCATGGCGGAAAGGGCAGGGGAGCCAGCGTATCACATGGTGAGAGAGGAACAGGAGCAACAGGAGAGGTGGAGGTGCCAGGCTCTTTTTAAACAACCGGATCTTCAGTGAACTTATTACCACAGAAAGGGCACCAAGCCATGCATGGAAGATCCGCCCCCATGACACAAACACCTCCCATCAGGCCCCGCCTCCACCACTGGGGAGCACATTTCAACATGAGATTTGGAGGAGGCAAACATGTAAACTGTATCAAAAGTAGACAATTAAACACAGTCTTATATAAATGTTCTATCTTTGGAAAAAGAAAAAGCCCAAGCACTGCATACCTATTGTAGCTCAGATAAAGAATACTGACACCACCAAGTGCTGCCAGGAAGCTGGAGCAGCCCAGTTTCTCATTCGTCTCTGGTGGGACGTACCAGTACCGCTGGTGGGGATGTGGCAGTAGAGCCATCTGGAAGACAGTGGCAGTGACTTTTGAAGTTAAATGTTACACTTGCCATGTGACCTGGCAGTTCCACTCCTAGACACTTATTTATCCTATAGAAATAAAAAGTTATATCTCACAAAACTATAATGAATATTTATAGCAGCTTTATTCATAATTGCCTAAAACTGAAAAGAAGTTGAATGTCCTTCCCTGAGTGGATTCCCTGAGTGGACAGAATAACAAACTATGGTGCATTGATATAATGGAACATGACTCGGTAATAAGGAGCAAATGATTAATATACACAACAACGTGACTGCATCTCAAATGCATTGTACTGAGTGAAAGAAACCAGTCTCAAAGGCTACAACTGCAGCATCCTATTCATATGATGCCCTGGAAGACAGACCTCTAGGGGCAGGGTTTAGGAGTTGGGAGAGGGGCTGGGGAAGGGCCTGATTAGAAATAAACAGCCCAGGGGAATTCTTAACGGGCCTTAGAATTGTTCTGTATCCTGTTTGTGGTGATGGTTACAAGAATCCATGTGGCTATGAAAGCCCATAGAACTGCACAAGTGAATTTTACTGTGTGAAAAATTTAAAAATTTTTTTAAAACTTGAGAATGTATGACTCGTTCACCACGTGCATGACCTCTTTTATCTCAGTAATCCTCTCTATGAGGTTGATGTTCTTGTTATAGGTTGAGCATTCCTAATCTGAAAACCCAAAATCTGGAATGCTCCAAAATCATCTGAAACTAATGTTGAGGGCTGATCTGATGCTTAAAGGAAATGCTTGTTGGAACATTTCGGATTTTGGATGTTCAGATTAGAGATTCTCTGCAGGTAAGTATAATGCAGATATTCCAAAATCTGAAAAAAATCTGAAATCCACAAGCATTTCAGATAAGGGATATTCAACTTGTATCACAATTAGTGCATTATTATCTACTACTAGTATTATTATTATTGACTAAGCAGAGGCTTTGTGATGTTTGGCCCAAACCCACATACTTTCTAGGGGGCAAAGCCTGGCACAAGCCAGGTGTGCATACTCTCCAGACCCTGATTGCCACAGCATTGCGAGTGACCCCTCAAGGAGTCACAGAGTGGGTGGTAGACCCTTCTCAGGTTCTCGTCCAGGCTGTACCTCAGTTATCCAGCTCTCTGGTCAGTGTCCTTGCTCTGTGCATCAGGCTGGTGCACATTTTACACAAGTGCAAATGTTTTAAATGCTCAGTATCAGAGACAGATTTGCCTGCGGAATGTTTTCTAACCTCTTAACTTGTGCTGTTGACTAAGTTAAATTTGGCTTATTTTCAAGGAACTGCTACCTCCCTGGAGGGTTTTTATGGTGACATCAATGAGAACCGTACTCAGTTTCTGTTCAATTCAGAGCTTTAACTCAGTATCCTTAATATCACTCAGGTTGTAATGAAAGGCTGCTCTGTGACTGAGTAGAACTGTTAATTATTAATAACTGTTAATTAACTACATAGTCAACCTGAGACCAGAGGGCAAGAGATAATTCCTCAGAGAAAGAAAAAAGAGCAAAATGATACAAGGTTGGAAAACAGTAAAAAGGGTGAAGATATTTAGTTCTTTTTGCACACTTTGTAATGATTTGTTTAAATATCTATTTCCCTAGCCTCTGTGCTAGTTTTTCTTGTTGGGTTTTTTTGTTTGTTTGGTTTTGTTTTGTTTTTTGAGAGAGTCTTGTGTTGTTGCCTAGGCTGGAGTCCACTCATGGCTCACGGATGTCGGCCTGGTGATGCAAGGATGGCAGCAGAGCTTGGGGTGGGAAGGAGGTGGAGATGAGGATCAAGGTCCCCAGAGAAGGGGGATGTCCTGGATGAGAGCAATGAGAAGGACAGCTGGGAGTGAAGCCGAACGCCCCGACCCTCCAAGCAGCAGCAGATTATGCCTGCAGTTAGAGTCACATTAGGGACCTGGAGGACACTGACAGCTTGGGTAGGGGTGGAGAGTGAATGTCCGAACTCGAGGAGGCTGCAAGTGCCATGAGACTCTCCACGGACGACTATGTCACTATTAGAGCACAGAGGAGGAGGCAGCTTTAAGGAGGGACTGGGCGTGCAGAGCTTGGTAACCAGGGATGGAGATCCAGGCAGTGCAGCAAAGCCCATGGAGGAGCCCACAGGACGGGACAGCTGTGAAGACACTGTCCACCCTGGAATGCAGGCAGCGTCTTCACAGCCATCCAGGGATTTGGACCCAGGCCTTCCTAAGTGAGAGCTATACTTTTTCCATAATCTCCACCACTACATAACTGTGAAAATTCAAAGTGGAAAAAGCGTCTGTCCTGGCTTTTCATTGACATTTTCAAAAGGAACAGAAAATGGTCGCATTCTCTTGCTTCTACAATGCCAGTGATTGTTTGAAGCATCCCGGATTTGACAACAGCTCCAAGGCGGGTAGACACTCACACTGTAGGTTCATGTCAATTCCAAATCGCATCTTTTTAAATGCTGAAAAATGAAAAAGGCAGTGCATCCTAGTATTTAAGGCCACATAGTAAGTAAAATGGGGGAGCAGTTTAACTGAAACCTGAAGAAACATCACGAGTTTTTTTGTTTTATGTTTCTTAGCTGAAAGTAACTCAAGCAGGATAACGTGATGAGGAAACGCAGGCATTTGCCTGAGATTAGTTCAGGAACTGTTGGAAAAGAACTCTGGGATCGGGCAGAACTGGAGTTCAGATTGCTAGCTTGAAGGACTTTTAAGTCCAATTTAAGATTTGGAGAGAGTTATAAAGGTTAAGCCAGCATTTATAAGAACGTGCTCCAATTAGAGAAGTACAGGAGAATTTGCTGTTTCATCTGTGCCATTATAAAGATCATTGTTCTTAAATTTACATTAGTTTGCTAGGCCTGCTGTCACAGAAATCCACAGACCAAGTGGCTTGCACAACAGATGTCTATTTTCTCCCAGCTCTGAAGGCTGGAAGTTCGAGATCAAGGTGTCAGCATGAATGATTTCTCCTTTAGCCTTTCTGCTTGGCTTGTGGACGGCTGTCTTCTCCCTGTGTCCTCCCTCACATGGCCTTCCCTTTGTGTGTGTCTGTGGCATCTCCTCTTTTCATAGGGACACTGATCAGACTGGTTTGAGGCTCACCCTCTTGACCTTGTTTCCATTTTATCACCTCTCCGCAGACCTGTCTCCAAGTGCAGTCCCATTCGAAGTGCCAGGGATTAGGGATTCAACGTATAACTTTTGGGGGAGGATACAGTTCAGTCCATAGCAGCCAATTCCATACCTCATTTTATAAGAAGAGAATTTAAAATCAGATCCTTGCCTAACACTCTTCTGGTCACACACAGAAAATAATTCAGAAAGTTACCTTGGCTACTCAGCCTCATGTGGCTGGATCCTCCGTTGCTGTGCAGCCTCACTCGACCCTTCCCCGTCTCTCTCCTTCACATGCTGGAACTTTCCTTACACGTCTGCAAGCATTGAGCTTGTTCATACCTTCAGCCTCATCCTCAGATGTCTTCTCTTCAGTTTCACATGGCTCTATCCTTTTGCCTTTTCGGCCTCAAGTTAAATCCTGTTTCTCCAAGAAGTTTCCCTGACCATCCAATGGAAAGCAGCCATCCAGCAATGCCAGATCCTGTGACCCTGTCTCAGTGCTCAGCGTGGTGCTTATTGCTGGCCGACAGGGCCCCGTTTATCTTGTCACCAGTGTTCCCAGCACTGAAGCAATTCCCCAGCAGATAGTGTCACTCAAGTATTTGCCAAGTGAATAAATAAAATCAGAAGAGTTAGAAAGACATGAAGAGAGCTGGGAAGAATCTGGATGTTCTTGAAGTCCAAGACTTTGTTTTTTTAGGTGGGATTCATCAAAAGGAGGCAGTTTGCCTGAAGTCCCACCTTTGGACAAAGAGAGAAGCAGGGCTGATCTGACTCCAGGCCTGTCTGTGACCTTGATTGTTTTAACAAGCAGAGGGTATTTTTGTACACAGTGACTTGGAGATATATATCAATGCTGCCTTTCTTCCTTGTCCCTTGCATGACAGGTCCTGTGTCTTAGGTTAAGTTTGGGGCAGCACTAAACTGTGCCACTAGACTATATCCCATGGAGCAGGGATTATAATGTATTCATACCCTGCAGTGTTGGCACATAGAAGCCAAACTGTAAATGTTTGCTGAGTGAAACAGTGAATAAATGAGTGAATATTTAAATGACAAGAATTGACAGTCTTTTGAAGTTTCTGTAGAGTGGTGCTTCTCAAACTTCAACGTGCATCTGAACCATCTAGAAAGCTAGTTAAAATGCCAGTTATGACTCAGGAAGTCCTGGGTAGCCTGAGAATCTGCATTTCTAATGAATGTCCAGGTGATGCTATTGCTGCTGTCCTTGCCTCTCCTTTGTGTAGCAAGGCTCTAGGATGTGTGCAGGAAGGTCTGTCTTACAGGGTCAAAGATAATCTTGTGAGTTAACTAGTCATCGAAAGACCCCGATCACATCTCACTTTGTCTAACAAAATAACACATGCAACTTTCAGCCAGTTACTTAATCTCACTGATCTTCAGCTTTTGTACATAGGTGACTTGGAGATGTATATCAATGCCCCCTTTCTTCCCTGTCCTATATTATGCCTGATGCCATGGATCAAGTTTTGGGCAGTATCAGACTATGCCATTAGTCATATCCTGTGATGCAGGCATTATCTTATATTCATACTCTGCAGTGTCTGGCACACAAAGGCCTTACTGTAAATGTTTGCAGAATGAAACAATGAATAAATGAGTGAATATTTAAAAGACAAGAACTGACAGTCTTTTGAAGTTCACTTTTGAGGAACCTGGTCCAGATATCAGGAGATATGCTTTGCTGAGCATGTAGTACCTGCTGAGCTTCTTGATATATGTTATGTCTACTTATCACAACAATCCTGCAGGGTGGAATTGTTATCCTCATTTGGCACAAGAGGAAACTAGTGCTCAGAGAGGTTAGACAACATGCCAAAGTTTCCGAAGTCAATAGCCAGGAGCCACTAGCAGGGCTCTGATGATGATGATGATGATGATGATGATGTGTGTGTGTGTGGTGTGTGCAGTATACATGTGTGTTTGCATGTGGATGTGTGTGTGTGCATGTGTGTTTCCCACATACCATTTTGCTTGTTAAATGATCCTTTAGGTTCTTTCCAGGTGTATGATTTTAGGTCAAAGATAAAGCATGACGCAGCTGACTGTGAGCTGTCACTTATTATACAAGCTCATGAAGGAGTCAGATACCTTTTTGCTCCTCAATATAATCTTTGTCTTCTCACCACCACACACACTGATTTCTCTTCAGGAACTGATTGCATATTCTCATGAGCACATATACAGTTTCTCCTAGAGACTGTAAGATTTTTAAGAGCAAGGACTGGGTCTTAGTTTCCATTTTGTTCCCTACCATGTTCAATCCTTACTTGATTCAGTGCTTTGATTTGAACAGAACTTCAGAAGCACAAGACAGGCTCTGTTCATTAAAAAGCTTCCAAAGCACTCACCATGCAGTGCAAAGTGTCCCCAATCTCTGCTTGCTTGAGGTTTCTCTCTCTTGATGTGTGTGTGTGTGTGTGTGTGTGTGTGTGTGGAGTGAAAGAGTAAATGGCTGTGGGAGGGCCAGGCCCCACCTGGAGAGGACTCTGGTAGTGTGCCAAGAGCAGGACTGCATGATTGGTGCATGTGACAGGGTGCAGAGGAGGGGGAGGGGTCCCTGCATGATTGGGGGGTCTTCCTCTCAGCTGTCCCTATTGTGTTGCCATTGGCATTCCTGTTACTGATAGCTAAATCAGGGAACAGAGGGCGGCGTGAGGTAGGATCCTATGACATAACAACACACTTTAGGGAGTTACCGATGATCTCAGAGTTTACCATGAAGTAAATCTGTTGCCTTTTGAAAGCCATGTCTGTCAGTACAGTGCTGGGGCCAGAGTTGTTTCACCTTGTAAACCATAAATTTCTCTCATACGTCCTTGGGGTGATGAAAATCTGCCAGAGTTGCGGGGAGCAGAGAGAGAACCTGACGGAATATTCTGAAATAATTGTAGATAGTAACAGGTGAAAAAAATACACTGTAGAGATATCAGTCCTGTATGAATGCAATGTAAGTTGTTGCTCTTTTAAGAAATGCTTTTGGAGTTTTCCATACAGAATAAGAAGGAGAAGGAGGAAAAGGTGGAGGAGGAGGAGGGGGAAGGGGGGGGGAGAAAAGTGGAAAAAAGAGATTTGTCTTGTATGAAACAGCAAAATAATATTCTATCAGAATTGTTTTAAATATGGCAAAATAGGGGCACTTCTATTTAAAGGGTATGTCTTTGGTTTATTTTTTATTTTTACTTGTTCTGATAGCTCTTCCTTTTGGAAAAGTCCGAGGCTTTGGCTGTCTGCTGTCTGTTTGGCCATCATCAGTAGAAGTGGGAACACAAATAGCTCATTGTTTTAATTTTGGATTTCCTTAGGCTGTCACTGTCACCTAGTCATCTCAGACACTCTTACAGGGAAACCAGCACTGGCAGAGTGTGAAGGTCGTAGCAAGGGCAGCAGTGCTTCCCAGGATCCCATGCCTGGAGAGGTCGGCATGCCCCTGACTTCTTAAGGGGACCTGCCTTCCACAGGACGAGCGCTTACTGAGTGCTTCTTCTGCACCTACCATGCATTCTCATCTATACCTTAGTTGTTGTTACCACAAATATCCTTACACATCTGTGGCATATGGATGACAAGAGCTTCTGAGTATGTTTTTGAACTGTATTTTCCTAAGGCAACTTCAAGTGCTTAAGAATCCAGTGTTATATGGGTGGCTGTTGATTCACAGCACTCTTCTGAGAGAGTAATTTGCTGCTTTTCTCCAACTCTTATGTCCTTGAGAAACCTGAATGTACAGACGACTACCCGTACCTACGAAGCTTCCTCTCACAGGACGGAAAAGATAAATATGCTGCAAAACGTGCTATAGAACAGTCAGCCCTGAGCAGCAGGAAACCGAGTAGAATTGCTCGCGTGGCCAAGCCCAGGCTCAGGAAGGTGTTCGCCCCTGTCGGAACTGGGTGGAAATAAGACCATTTTGCACCTCAAGTGCAAGTGCAGACCTGAAGGAAGAGTGAGGGCTCCCCCAGCACAGGTGTGCCCATTTTACAGGTGCTAAGGCTGTGGCGGAGACAGAGATGGGGAGAGGAGTTGGCTGTGATGCATCGTAATAGAGCAGCTCACGTGTAAGGGCCATGAGAAGTGAGGATGGAAGGGCAGCCAGGCTGTGGCTAGTCTTCACGCAGCTCAGCTGAGTGGAAATGCAGCATGACCAGTGGAAGAATGAGTATTTGAGGAGGCAGAGTTCCCCACTCTTCTGAAGCTCTGTTTTACTAAAGGCTTAGAACATAAAATTGGAGCATTGTTTTTGGAATGGAGGGAGCAAAGTGTTAACCTGGACAGCTTTGGTGCACACGGTGAGAGGTTTACCAAGGGCTCACTCACTCTCCTTCATAAGAGTGGCTGCTTAGGAGGAGGTCTGGCTCCTGTGAGATGTGGGGCCTGTCCAGAACCTTCTGTTGCTACAGCAGCAGTAGCACTGTGAGGGAGGGATATTATTTTTCAGTCATGGAAGGGGACCACCGTCACTTAGCCGGTCTGTTGTTGACTAAAATGTGGTTAGGTGGTGCGAGACTGGACTAGCATTAAAGTGCTTCTGAACCGAGAGGGTAGAATGGGAACAGGTACTGGCTTCCTGTTTTTCAGTCAAGGCTTTGAAAGGTTTGGTCACTTGCTTAAAATCACACAGCTGGTGAGGGGTATCATGGGATTAAACACCAGTCCGCTCATCTCCGAAGGCCTGACTGACAAAAACAAGTTTCAATTGATTTTACCTTTCCTCTATAATAGACGAGGGATATCTCATTTCAGAATCTCTGAAGGTGACACTTGGAGTTGTTCATTGATTCGATTACTCTGAATCTTTATTTCTGAGCTTATTTATCTCAGGTTTTAGATTCAGAACTCTAAAACTATTCATTGGTTTCACTTCCCTTTGCACTGCTAAGTAAACGTGATGTAGGAGGACTACTCACGGGGGTGAGCACAGCAAGGCTACGAAGGATGTAAGATCAGGTGCAGCTCTTATATGCATTGATCCAAGAGATAGTCAGGATCATTACTAACTTTCCTAATGTTTTGTAAAGCATTTAGATGTCAGCATTTGAAGGACATGCTCCTGGTCTTGTTTAAGTCAGGCAGGAGTGGTTAATTAATTCTCTAATTCCTCAGGCTTCACAGTTTCAACCAGCCATAATTATTTTGCAATGGAGGTTTCCTCTCTGCCTAAACTGGCGTTGATATCAGGGGCTGAGTGCATCAGCTTTGTGATAATGAAGATAGTTGCCAATTCGATCTTCCATATGGGATAAAGTTGGGGAGAGGGATGGTAGAGAAGAATGCATGGGTCAGACTGTAAATGATAATGAGTAGAAGGCAGTCAGGGATTTTTTTTAACATGGAAAGGAAATAGAATTTTAACTAAGTTGAAGTTTCCCTACTGTGCAAATCTCATCTTAAATGACAAGGGATTATGCCATATAGCTATGGATTTGGACCCAATATTTGAACCTATAGCAACTCCGAAAGATTAGACTGCAGTTTGTTAGGGAATGCCCTTTGGATCTGATTTTTAAACAGAACCAAATGCATTCTGCTCTTCTGCTTTTAAGAGTAACCCTGCTTGAGGATGTGTCGAAGCCTTGCTAGATAGCTTTGCTGATATTTGCCTCTAGCATTCTTTCTGGAGATATTTAGACTTTAATAAACTCCTGTTGTCCTTTAAAAAAACTGAAGAGAAAAATATTTATAGAAAAAATAATCAAATACAGTTGTACGTTGTTTAACGATGGGGATACGTTATGAGAAATGCATCGTTAGGCAATTTTATCGTCGTGTGAACATCACAGATTGTACTTACACAAACCTACATGGTGCACCCTGCTACCCCACACCTAGGCCACATGGCATAGCCTCTTGCTCCTAGGCTACAAAGCTGTGCAGCATGTGACTGTCCTGAATACTGTAGGCAATGTCACACAATAGGTATTTGTATACCTGAACATATCTAAGCAGAAAAAGTACAGTAAAAATATAGCATTATTATCTTAGGGGACCATCATCACCTTCACCGTCTGTTGTTGACTAAAATGTGGTTAGGTGGTGCATGACTGTACTAGCATGAAAATGCTTCTGAACTGAGAGGGTAGAATGGAAACAGGTACTGACTGGGTTCTTGTTTTTTTGTTTGGAGATGAAGTTTCGCTCTTGTTGCCCAGGCTGGAGTGCAATGGCATGAGGATCATGTCAACCTTCGCCTCCCGGGTTCAAGTGAGTCTCTTGCCTCCGTCTCCTGAGTAGCTGGGATTACAGGCATGGGCCACGACACCCAGCTAATTTTGTATTTTCAGTAGAGATGGGTTTCTCCATTTTGGTCAGGCTGGTCTTGAACTCCCAACTTCAGGTTTTCTACCCTCTTTGGCCTCCCAAAGTGCTGGGATTACAAAGATGAGCCACTGTGCCAGCCCGTACAATAATTATTTAATGTAAGAAGATATCTAAGGGAAAATAAGAAATTCTAGGTAAGGAAATACATTTATTTGTGGAAGTTTAAAAGAAGTTTAAAAAGTTGAAGAAAATTGTGGTTTTCAATGTTGATGCTGCATCCTTTGCAAATCCTTAAATTTGTGAATGACACTTTTGAAAACTTATACTTTATTCTAGGTGTCTTTTTTCACTTTACACTATACTGTAAAGAATCACAAAAGAGTGTCTCATTTAAATAACTTTCTATACAATGTATAGATATTTTAAAATAACATGTTGTGTTTAAAATACATGTTGTATGTAAAAATACATATGATTTTTGTCAATTAAACAGTATATTAAAAAAAATAATGTAGTATAAATGAGCTCAAGTGATTTCATCCACAGTGATAGAATGTTTCCCATTTGATGCAAGCAGTCAAACCTAATTGTCATTAAGAAAAACACACAAATAACAATCCTCCTTCCCAAGCTTGAAATTCCACTTCTCTTTTTGAACTCACTTCATGAAGCAGTCCCTTTTCTTGCATTTACAACATGAAGCCTAAGGGTTTGAGTCACTCACACAAATAAACCAGAAGTCCTGTATGATTTCTCCTTCCTAAGTATGACTTACTTTCCTTTCCATGAAGCGATTTTATGGGTGATTATATCTAAAGGGTAGCCTCCTGCTTTCTCTTCAGTTGGTCCATTTTCACAGCCCCCAAAAGCAAGTCTCTAATTTGGGACTTGATTCAAAGTCTGAAAAAACCCTAGGCACGTCTTTCTTCCTTGAATCTGTTCATGTGCATATTCCAAAAAAGGTTCTCATTGCTAGTTAGGCCATTAATTTTATGATATCCAAATCAAACAGCCACCGTACTATTTAAGGTTGGATCCTAGAATGGCACTTTGAACATGAGAGTCGTGGCTGCCACTCTCCAGGTGACTATCCGGCAGTGACACTTCTAGCTTTGTTTCTGGCTTGATGTGCATATGCCGAAGGCTTCAGCAAGCATAAACTCATACAAATGTTTGTCAAGCTGTGTAAGCCTAAACAGTTCATCAGTTGCTAGAATGATCAGTTGGGAGATGGGTTGCCCAATTTGGATGGTGACCTTTATGAGCTCTTGGTTGGATTGCAGATTTATGTGTCACAGTGTACTGGAACTTAATGAATCCTGTGGCATATGGATGGTAAAATGCAGGGCAGAAACTGCAATGAAGAGGCAGGAAGAAAGTGGCAAATCCAGGAGCATGAGAGCAGTTAAGCATCTCTTTCCCCTATGCTGCTTCTCAGGGTGCCTGTTAAAATGCAGTTAGTAATGAAATGCTGTTTGAAATCAAACTTGCTGAAACAATATGGATATTGTGGAAATCTGTCTTATTTATTTTTAGGATGTGCTTACTTCTAGGTGCTTTCAGCGACTGCAGCCCAGTTAGTTCTCGTGCATTGGTTTTCTTTCATGTGCCTGCTCCAGGGTAGTTCTCCTGTGCGTGTGACCTCCTAGTGGAAAACCTGCCCCTGCCATTTCTTTATGTGGCGGCAGCCTAGAGAGCTTGCCTACCCGGCGTGAGCAGGTTGCAATGATAATGGTTTCCAGTTCTGCTCAGCGGGGAACTGAAGTCGCGGTATTTTCCTTTATGTCCTCTCGAAGCTTCATTTTGTGATCTTGTTTCATCCTGCTGAACCTGTCATTGGAATTGCTCCAAAGGTGGTGGCAGGAAAGTCCCCACAAGGGAGTGCCCCAAACTTTCCTAAGATGGGGTCTATTGAGATTCTGAATAAAGAAGCACTAAAAGCCAGAGTGATCAGGCCAAAGCATTCATTAGGGAAACGTAGGCAGAGTGGGCTGCAGCAATCCTGTGACGGGTGGGTAAAGGGGTCTTCCACCTAGAAATGTCCGCAGCAAGTTGCTCGGGGGATGGAGTTTACATAAAGCTTTAAGGAATGTGGCTCAGGGCCAGGGCCAGTTTCTTTCAGTGTTTTGGGCAAAAACTTAGATACCTTTATCAATGCATGGGAATGTTCAAGGCCCCGGTTTGGGTTCAAGCCTGCTGGGAAAAACCTGCAGCTGTCTGGGTCACAGAACAGTCAAGGCACTCAGTGAGTTTTGGTCATGACAGAGAGGCGAGGGCTCTAGGGGACCCCACAGAACTACAGGCTCCAGTTTCAGCCCCACTTTTCCAAGTACAGATTTATTTCAGAAATTTAAGTACTAGTCTTACTTTTCTCACAAATTTCAAAGTCATGTGTTGACACTGATAGCCTGTCTAGCACAGGGAAACGCTGATCTATTTAACTGATTTGAAATTTTTATATTTGATTATCTGGATTATTGTCATTGATGGAACTCCAGGTGTGTGGAGATGCCACTGGCCTGGAAATCATGACATATGGGTTTTGTCCCAGATCTCTGCCATACCATTTAAACACCGTGGCCTCAGCACCTCAGAGCAAAAGTTAGGGTTATACTAGGTATTCTCCACGGACCTTGTCAAATGTTTTTTGTGATGCTGGGAATTTATAACCAACACAGGCAAACAATAAGCTAGAATTATTAGAATCTTTAAAAAAGTATGATTGTGTGTTACAGAGAATCTTGAAGTTCGCTGAAGTCTGTTTGACTTTCTTCTGGAATCGGCACAGCCCAAATGCAGCCACAATTTCTCATTGTCAGAACTAGACGGGCCACATTGTGAAAGAATGTGGACCAGTGTCTGGGAATCCAGCCGCTTACTGCATTCAAGAATGCTGGTTGGTTGCTGTGGCTGTGATTTCCAAGCATTTTCTAAAAGGTGTATAGAGGAGAAACCTAAGTTCCTGCCACCACCTCACCTTGTAGTCCAATTCCCCTGAAGGTGCTTGAGCATAGGAGGAGAACATCAGCTACTTTTGCCGCTCTAGGTCCAGGTTACATTGCAGCCAGGAAATTCATCCAGCAGCTTGCCAGGCTCAACACAATTGTAGATGGAGCCTGGAGAACCACTCGTGTCAGTTTAGTTGTTTCACCAAAAAAGTAAAACAAAATAGATTTTACTAACTCAATCAATAATTCAGTTACCCCATAAAACGTAGCCTCACTGAATTTCTTGCTTTGTCTTCCAAGACGTTAAGTTGGCGCTTTTTTATAGCTGTGGCTCTCTTCCCTGGCTGGTCATCTGGGCCACCTGCTGGGCCTTAGATCCAAGGTGGGGGCCTGGACTCAGCATGTTTTTCAGAGTTCTCCAGGTATTCCAATGGCTAGTCAATTTATCATTCATTTAGGGCTGATTATCAATCTTCCATGTGAATAAAACTGGTTAATTTCCTGTGGATCGTTTTGGAATAGAAAGCCTTATTACGAGGAGGGAGCACTGTTCTGAACTTGCGTTGTAAACTCTGCCTGCCTCTGGAGGTGGCAAGGGTG